ACAATATATTAATCAATATTTATAAAACTTTACATGTTACAGAACTTGATTTCTTCTTTAGTATGTACTCTATTGCCTTAAATTCATTGCTGCTTTTATATTATAGATAATTTCGAGAGAATTGTCCAGAAGCTTCTTTATGGATTACATTAAATCTCCAGGCCATACACTGTTAATGCTAATTGTGATAGGTGTTTTATTTCTGATCAACTCCTACATGTTAGCATTAATAGGGTGTGGTGCTCTTTTCCAGAAGTAATATGGAAAACACTGCTGCTCGTGGCAAGAAAGCAAAGAGAATTTTAAAAAAATAAAGGAAACAGTTTCATTTAACAATTTGCTAGCATGCATTCATTTTCTTCTAATAAAAGTAAACCACTTTATCAATACAACTGATGAGCATAGGTGAGACACCACAACTTTTCCTGTGATGTCAAAACCCATCCATGTTGATACCAGCAAGCTACAACAAATAAAATGATGCATAATGTGTTAGTAAATAAATGTTCTGAAGCCAAAAGAAAAATCAGGTTAAAATATTCCACGTTACAGAGTATACTTGGGTATGTACCACTATTGAATGTAAACATAGGGGTATTATAGCTCATACAGAAAGTTTCTGAAATTCAAAGGTAAAATTTCTATCTACTAGTAAGAGCTTTAGCCACATTTCCCATCATTTCTATCCATGGCTACACTGGCTACAGATGATATAATTTGCAGTTAAAAATATATGAAAACTATCATATTAATAATTCACAATCTCTAGCTCTTAAATAAATCTGAAAAATAAACATGCTATGCTCTTAGTTGTAAAGAACATTAAACACATTTTATTTTCTTACAGCAGGATAGTTGAAGTTTCCTTTTAAAAAGAGACACATTTCAAAATTTCCATACTCCCACCTATCCTATTGCATAGAACCACTTTTTCTCCTTTCACTGTTTCAATGTTTCCAGAAATTTCATGTTACCTAACTCACTTCCCACGGTCTGAGTTTCAGAAGCATGAAAGTTCTGCTATTTCAAGAAGACAATAAAGGAAACTTCAGTACTGCAGAGTGGATCAGAGATCACAGAGATTCAATAAAAATGCTTCAATTGCAGCTATCATAAGAGTAGATTAATTCCCTCATACACTAACATGATTTTGCCTATATAAAGAAGAATCTTATTATCTGCAATCCACACAACATATTACAGAAATGTAGGGGTATTTGGTTAGAAACTATGACTGGTATAAATTCTTGGAAGCAATGGATATTTGATTTGGTTTCAAGATATTTCCAAGAATTAAGGATTAATACTGATAATTCATGGTAATACAGACTGCATTATGATAGCCCCATGCACACTAAAAAACCAAATATTAACATACAAAAAAAAGGTAAGAGACAGGCCCATACACAATTAAAGTGAAATAATCTAAAATGCATTTCAGGCTGATGAATTACAAGATTGCAAACTACAAATTACAAATTCCTTTTTGATAGCCTCATTGCATCCTCAGTTAATTGGGTTTTCTCTCTTATATTTACCAGCATTTAATTGTCACTAATAGTAAGGTGACCAACTTTTTTACAACAAAAAGGACACGAATAAATTTAAGAAAAAAAATCGTAAATAAAAGAAACATTGTATTTATTGCAACAATAATACAGAATACACTATAATATGATAAATGCATAATAAAAAACATTTGTAACAATAACATTTTATATTGTAGTTATGCTTACATGCCTATTAATTATTTAAATGAGTACTTTTCCATTGAATGAATATTTTTTGTCAATGTATCATCTTCTAACAATATATTGGAAATATCTGAACAATAAATATCCTTCATATTGAATTTTACGGCAAGTGCTGCAGCTAGAGTATCAATATTCAATCTCGATTTCTCACTTGTCCAAAAATCTACACAGCTGGACTGCGCGGGGGTGGGCGGCGGAGGCAGGTGTTGTGAGCCAGGCGCTCCAGGATGGCCATGTAGATGCGCAGGGTGAGATGGTGGCAGTGCAGGTCAGCACTGCGTAGACCACCAGCTGGCGCAGCCCATGGAAGGTCAACTGCCCGCCGCGCCCCCGCCCACAGCCGCCCCGCCAGCACTGCTGCCCTGCCATGGAGAGCCGGCCCTACAGCTCGCAAAGCACCAGCCGCGCCAGCTCCGGCCCTGCAGCCTCTCCCCAGCACCACCGCCCCCCCTGCCCATCCCCGTACAACCGGCCCCGCGGCTTGCAAAGCACCAGCCGCGCCGGCTCTGGCCCTGCAGCCGCCCCCCAGCTGCTGGGGCAGCACCACCATCCACCCTGCGCATCCCGGTAGAGCCGGCCCCACGGCTTGCAAAGCACCAGCCGCGCCGGCTCCGGCCCTGCAGCCGCCCCCCAGCACCACCACCCCCCAGCACCACCGCCCCCCCTGCCCATCCCCGTAGAGCCGGCCCCGTGGCTTGCAAAGCACCAGCTGCGCCAGCTCTGGTCCTGCAGCCACCCCCCCCCAGCCGCCCCCCAGCACCACCGCCTACCCTGTGTATCCCCGCGTAGAACTGAACAGGGAAGATCAAGTGAAACTTACCGCTCCAGTCTCCTCCAGCTATCTTTGGAACTAAGAAGTAGGAGATCGTGTAGTTGGGTAGCAGTGAGGGGTGCAAGTTCCTGCAACTTGCACGTGCAAAGTTTGCCGCCCGGGTGTTTTGGCGCGCTCAGCAGCAATTCCTATTGGCTTTCGAAAGCCAATAGGGGGAGTAGATGCAAAAGTTGAAAAAAAAAAAAAAAGGTCCCGGAACGCCTTCTGAGCGTTCTATGAGGAAACAAAAGCCCTGCAGATTAGTCGTCAAAAAGAGGACATTTAGGAGGACATTTTCGAGAGAGGACAGAACTCACAAAAGGAGGACTGTCCTCCCAAAAGGAGGACGGTATATGGAAAAGGAGGACATTTAGGAGGACACTTTTCAAGGGAGGACAGAACTCAAAAAAGGAGGACTGTCCTTCCAAAAGGAGGATGGTTGGTCACCTTACTAATAGATGGAAATTTCAACTTTGAACTTCAGAAAATTCCTGTACAAGCTACAATGCCCTCATGTTTACATTCAATAGTGGTACAAACCCAAATTAAAATAACTTTTAAAATATCATGTTGGTACAAAGTATGTCCACTGTAGCTATACTGAAACAGTACCAGCATTTACCAATACACAAATGTCAATTTGAGCACTGCAATCTAAATACAAAGATTAGATCTGATCATGCAACTTGGTAGCATTGCTCTAATACCCAACTTTTCCCACTTTATTCCTTCCAAATATTAGGACTGCAATCCCTGGAATTCACAGTCAGACTCTTGCAAGTTGATATGTTTAGAAATGGACAGTTCAGCACATCTGAGAAGATTAGAGACTAAGGAAGTCTGGTTACTGGTGCTGTCTAACGCTTTGGTTTTTAATTAGAGGAAGGTTCAGTAAAATAATCACATTGAAGCACATTCATGAATCAATGCAGGGAACCACTTTAAAGCAGCAAATCAAACTAGATGACGGTGAAGCACTTTGTTAGTCTTGTAAAAACATTCTAGATTTTAAAAGGTTATTTTGCCCCTTCTGAACTTGTTACTGAAGACACATTTTCTTTGCACAAACAGTAACATCAGAGATAGAGGTGGAACAGAGTGATACAGGCTTCAGTAGCTAGTCTGAATTCTATCAAATGTTTAGTCTCTTATTACCAGAGCTCTTTTGAACTGGTAAGCACTTCATTCCCTCAGCTCTTAGCTTCTTTAATGTGGTCAGTTTCAAAACTAGACTTTGTTCTCCCTCATGTTGATGTATTAAACTTTGATACTAGTTCTGCCTACACAACTGGTTCAACTCAATTCTCAGCATTCTGAATATGGTCTCAAGGTTGGCCAGTCAGATTATGTATTAATGGCTGAAAGCTAATGTTTACATTCAGTGTTATTTGGGCAAATTTAATTCTTTGTAAGAACTAAAAGGGGACCATGGTAATAGAGACATCCAAACATTTACTGATTTTTTTAAATAAAGACTATAAGCATATTAAATAAGTTTTTCTGTGCCAGGCTCTTTCTTCTCAACTGCCTACTTCTATAAAGTTGTATATCACCGACTTTTAGCCTATGTCTGTTGCCTCCACCAACAGTTGCCAAAAAGACACAATTGAATCCCACTAAGGAGGAAAGGATTCTTCCCAAAAAGCAGCAAGATCATCCTGATATATCTATTTTTCTAGCACTCCTGCAGATAGGTAGAATCAGCAAAGCATTTTTTAGTGTCCTGGGCAAAACATGGCACTCCAGAAAACAAGCATTTATCTTAAAATATGTTCTGAACCTGTTTATTTTTAAACTGGAGTAGGGCACTGGCTGCATTGGTTCAGTAAGCACAAGTCAAGCTCTCTTTGCCTTCAAAGAGGTTCAAGAATATTATTTCAAAAATATTTTGTAACATCCAGCTGAAGCATGACAGGGTTAAAAAGTCTACTGAACCTGCTATTTTCATCTCATTCAACAATGAACATCTGTGGGTATTTCAATGCTTTGCTCTTATAGCTCATGGATAAATGGTTTTTTTTTTTAATCTCAATCCCAATTATTTAAGTAGTTCAAATCAACTTGGCTCCAAATTGCAAATACAAATTTAATTACACCCTCTTTGAATCTTCCACTCAAACTGAATTGGAGTGATATTATTGCTCATATTCATTAATTGTGAACTGTAGAAGTATTAAAGCTGTGAGGAAAATCTACCAGGATCAGTATCTGAACTCATCTCTCATTTTGCAACAGGCTTTGAATGTCTGCAGATTCTGTAAAACACCCCTAGATACGCAACCTTTTGTATGTACATCTATTCTATTATATCTACATTCTATTTCTATTTACATCTAAGTTCTAATCTGATAGCGCAAGGGTGACGTTCTGTGAGTCTCTGAAAATCTTCTCTCGAAGAATTTTTCAAGGTATTGATCTGAATAATGAATCTGTACTTTAAAACAATCTCAATTTAATTCTTAGTATTTCCACACATACAGATTAGAAAGTGTCAGGCTGGTTCAATGTTTGTAATTTCATTTCTATCATTTGTTTCTTTTGGTCTTCTTTCAGTGATCTGTAAAACATAATAAATTCTTGAGATAAAATATGAACTTTCATATACCTTTTGCTCAATCCCCAAATCCATTCCAATTCCCCCCCCCCCCTTATTCACTGTTCATACTGATCACCCTGCATGTTGGCAGCCACACTCTGATTTTCTTAATGAGAACTGCATGGATAAACTGCAAAATCTGGGCAGAAATGGAAACATTAAACTGGTGGTTTAAGCCTCGTGGGAAAAATATAATTCATTTCTCATTAATTTTTGCTTCAGAAAAAAATACTACTGAAAAAAACAAACATGGAATGTGATTTGGTTTAATATTCAAACCAGCTGGAAAGAAAGAGGATCCAGAAATGCTTTAGAATTATGCTTACTAGTAGATCTTCTAACAGATGTGTTAATATACAGGATATTACTGAGTATTTAGAAAATACATATACATATATAAACATTTTATACATATATAAAAATATGAATGTAGTACTAAAATTTGAAATCTTAGTTTTTTGGCAATAGTTTAAATTATCTGATAACACTAGACTGACAATGCCATGAATCTTAAACCCAATTCCTACTACTACTTTTATATAATCAAATCAAAAAAATAATTTTGCAATTCAGTATTCTCCCTATTCCATCCATGGGCAAAATAAAGCTTCAAGACTCTTAGCAATCTTCAGATCATTTGTGTGCAGGCTGCTGCTTTTGGTCACAACTGTCAAATTTGCCATCCAAAGATGAAAATCCCATGTAAACTGTAATTTATAATACAACAAAAATAGACACTCCCACAGCCCCAAACCCACTGGCAGACGGGTAAGAATAAGTCTCTGCTTTTTATAAATAGCAAAATGTCAACAATAATTTTCATTTGCAATGTCAAAAAAAAGTGTGTATGCAATATAAAAAGTGGATCAACATACAACTAATAACAGAATAGTGCTATGCTATTGTCATTCCTTCCAGGCCCAGGAACATAAAAAATAGTTTTATCCCTTACATATTATGAACATCTTATGAAATGTTCTTCTTCACACATTGGTACATACTATAGCTAGTCCTTGATTTATGACCATTAGTTTAACAACTGTTTGAAGTTACAATGGGACTGAAAAAAGTGTCTTAGAACTGGCCCTCACATTTACACCAGCATCCCCATGGTCAAGTGATCACCATCTGCAACTTTCCCAGGGAGCTTCCAACAAACATAGTCAAAGAGAGAAGCCAGATTCGCTTAATGACTGTGGCAAAAAAATGTCATAAAATTGGATACCACTTAATGACTACCGTACTTTCCGGCATATAAGACGACTTTCTAAAGCGTTGAAATCGGTGCCGAAGTTGGGGGTCATCTTATACGCCGAGTCGTCTTATACGCCGAAAATAACAGTAGTTTCCGGTGTATAAGACAACTTTCTAGGCATGCAACTCGGCGCCGAAATCGGGGGTCGTCTTATACACCGGTTGCCTTATATGCCAGAAAATATGGTACATTACTTAGCAATGGACGTTCCGGTCACAATTGTAGCCACAATTATGCTAGGAAAAAATATCAGAGTATCAGAGCAAAACAATGATTATAATTTCTGATGCATTTTTATCTGAAATATTGATATTTTATATTACATTTCTATTACAGGATTGTGTTTCTTCATAGCTTTCAGAAAGATAAGTCATGCAAATGTAGTGATTATTCTTTGAGGTTTAAACTTACTAGTTTCTGTGATCTTTTCCGCAATCTGTGCCATATAGTATGATAAAGCTGTAATGAAACAGAATCAGTCAACATATAAATCATTATTATTATTATTATTATTATTATTATTATTTTGCAATGAAAATGTGCTTATGTGTTGTGTATTATGGACAAAATGTCATGAAAGGATCAAATAACTACATTCCATAATCTTTCAGCTTTTCTATATAAAACCTCTCAAAATTTAAAGAGGAAAAGTCAAGTTGTATTTCTTAAGAATAAACATTATATTCCCATGGTGGCGAACCTATGGCACATGTGCCACAGGTGGCACGCAGAGCCCTCAGCCTTCAGCTGGATTTTATAAAACCTTTTTGCATTAGACCTCCGCTGCCGTGTGCAAAAAAAAAAAAAGGTTCAATCAATCAATCAATTTCAACTTCTTGCGGGGGAAAAAAAAGATCTCGCAAAGTTGCAATTGATTGATTGAACTTTTTAGTCCCATCCAGTCTGCCGTTACCACTGCAGCCATGCCCACCCAGTGGGCCATGCCCACCCAATGGGCCATGCCCACCCGGCACCCGACAATACATAAGTGGATTTTGGGTTGCAGTTTGGGCACGCAGTCTCTAAAAGGTTCACTATCACTGTTATATTCCATTATTTTAGGAACCAGTAGGATATGTGTGTGTGTGTGTCATTACAATTTAATGTTTCTCTGGAAGACATTTCTTTTTTCAAATATATCAAGCAGATGAAGCCTTTTGGGCAAAAGTGATGTCACATTTCATAAACAGAACTACAGTACTGTGATTTGAAAAGTTTGGCTGAATCCTTTCCACTAAGGTTGAAAACTCTAAGATGCTGGCTTTATACTATTTATTTCTAGTAAAAGGAGGAACAAGATATGGTTTCCAATTCCCCATTATTTTTTCTTTAATTCTCCTTATAGATTCTAAGCTATGGAGTACGGACTAGTTAATAATTACCTTTCCTTATAATTCTTACATTAATTGTTGCTGGTGGTTGTGCCACATAAAGCAATATGTAGCTCTTTCTTTTTTTACTGGACCTTAAACTCTACAGTATTGCACTACCAAATTGCAAGCATGTTGTTTTTCATTCTTTAAAAAAAAACTGCCAAAAACATGTTAATTTTCCAAAACATTTAATGTACTTATTTTATTTTTTAAAAGGACCTCAAAAATTCCCCATGGGTTTTAAAAAGGGCAAAAGATTTTTCTCCTGTCTCATGAGAGAAATTAGTGAATTTAGGATGAGGAATTTAAAAGTTATTTACTGCTCACCACCCTAAGTCCATATTCTCTTTCTTATCCTAAACAAAAATACTGGTAAATAAATAGATTACTAACCTTTAAATGATATGGTACAGAGATACCTTGGAATCTTCTTCTTAATTCAGACTGGCTGCTTTGAAGATTATGAGCTGCTGTTACTTCATACTGATCACACAAGCTAGTTCTTGAAATATGAGGTCCTTCACTAATGTCTACAAAATCACCAAATCTGGTCGAAAACAAAACACAGAAAGCTTAAGCACCCCAAAAAGTGTTAATAATAGCTTTAAAAAATGTATCTGTTAACTATCGGGTGGGATGATAAGGTTCCATTCACTGCATGTGTTGAAGTGAAACTGGATAGATAACTAGAAGATGGACTAAATTTCTTAAGTGTTCCCTTATTTGGATTTTTGCATAAGCATGGCTTGGAATCATGGCGTAAATTTCTGCTCTTCTGACAAGACTCAAAGCTTCTTGAATGACTATCTTTAAGGATCTATAATGAAGTTCTCTCTGGTTGAAAACATAATGCAACATTAAACCTGTAATTTTTTATTTTTCTACATATTTCGCCATTTAGAAGTGCGAAAATAAAATCTTTTAATGCCAGTTAATCAACATTTCTACAATATATTATAGCTTATGAGTGGTGATAGACTTGTCTACTGAGATAACAAGCCAAACACTGCATTGAATTGCACATGCCAATATAGTAAATTATAAACAATATATATATATATTAAATGTAACATTAGCATTTAGATGCATATGTGAATTAAGATTTCCTTCACACCATATAATTTTCTGAACGTGGATTGGGTCACTGAATATAATGCATTTTAGTACATTTTCATTATATTTTTAATGAAAGTTAAATTGCTAACAAACCATAAACCCCAATGAGTCAGGAATGACTGGTCTCTTCTTTGACATAATTTTAAAGGGAGGGAAGGAGGGAGGGAGGGAGGGAGGGAGGGAGAGAGGGAGAGAGAGAGAGAGAGAGAGAGAGAGAGAGAGAGCGCAAAAACATAACTTTCTTCTCACTAAAGCCTTAAAACATTGCTCAGATCCTTACCTCTTCATTTATTCTCCCTGAGACTATGAAGAATATTTCACTTCTGGTTCAAAGAGAAGATCATAAAGGTAAAGAATTCTAGCTATAAAAATAAGGCTGGTTTATGTTTTGCTCACCTATGCACTGTTACCACTCCTTTGGAATTTTGAGCTCTTTCTTCAACCATATCCTGTTTGTACCTAAAACACAAAGAAGCACATCTATAACTATATTTCCTATAGTATGTAATGTAAAACAATGGTAAATTCAGCTAGAAGAGTATATATCTGCTATTTCGTTTTTTTCAATCATATGTCATTTTTCCATCCTACATGCCAATTCTAGTAACAATGGGCTAAGGAATATTTTTCTTTCTTTTCAAAACCTGAGAAAACTTCTTCCCTTTATTCTCACCATGAAGCCTTTATTCCAGCGGCTAATATTGCTTCTAGTGGAGTTGTTCCTAAAACTTCAAAACCTTATTCTCATCTGATAAACATTAATGCATTTAAATATATTCCATTTTATTCATACTTTACTCTTCAAAGTAGAATGATGTGCATTATCTATTATACAATAAAGCATATACAACCTATGTTAAATATAGCTGCAATATATGGCTATTTATTTTAACAGGAGTTATACATTGTTCAGCCATATTCCCTTTCATTATCAGTGGCATACTAATAGACATGAAAACTAAAAGCAAATGAATAAGGAGCTGTTTATTTTTTTAATCTCAAATTATAGATCTTCTTAATAAAACACGGATTTCAAACTATATACATATGAGCACAGACAGATACGCATCTTTTCTGAATGACATTTTAACTCTGACATATAGATTGCTAATACTAACTTGTTATACTCAAATATTTCAAGTGCCACTTTTGCATCGACATCCAGCACTTCAAACAGCAAATCTTTCTGAATTAATCTGAAAGCATCTTTTGAAAGAGAACGGAGATTTTCCTTCAAAAATGAGAAAAAAAATACTGAGCTTATATAGACATGATAAACAAGAAGGTTCAAATAATTTAAGTATCTAAAATTCTTGGTGTGTAATATTTAATCATTATTCTGGAGACTTTTCAAGCTGTAGCTATTTAAGGTAGCTCTATCTCTGCAGGAATATAGTAAGCATAAAAAACTGAAACATGTTTCATATTTACTATCCCTTTCATGTAAGCTTAAAAAAACTCAATATCCTCCATTTGCCTAGCAGTCTGGAAAATTATTTGGCTTAATCGAATTAACTATATCCACATAGGGATATCTTTTTATTTCATCCCCAATACAAAAGGAAGTTTATGAATTAACAATTTTAGCATTTACAGCAAATATTATAACAAATATTTGAGGAATAAAAGGGCAAGCTTATGAGGCTATCCAATCCAATTGCTATATGTTAAAACACCATACTTTTCAAAAGGCTTTCTATTATATTAAGGCAAGACTGAGTTTAAAACTAACATTTTTCTGTATGTTATTGATTTGTCACACAGTCAGCCAGCTGGATTAGGTATTTTATCCGCCTTTTTAGTCCTTCCCAAGGACCTGGGATAGGCAGATGTGGATGTTTGACAGTATTATTATTATTGTTGTTGTTGTTGTTTATTAAACTTATATGCTGCCCATCTTGCCTGTTCCAGAGGGTGGAGCAACAGCAGAAAAAGAGATTTGTAATAAAAATATGACCAGACTAAATCCAAAGCTGAAGAAGTTCCAGATTTGGTTTTATACCCTTAATATTACATGAATTAAGGCCTGAATCCAGAACAGAATCTAATATTGGTTCTATCATTATAGGAGGATTGATCAATTTCTGGTCTGCTAATTCTGCATACATTCATTCATACATTTGTTCTGTTTTCAGATCAATTTGTACAAACTATTTAAATATTTTCTCACAATATATACATTTTAAACATATTTTATCCAAAAAATAAACATTTGAAACCTGAATAAGTATTAGAGGCTTGATCCAGCAGTCTAGGAAGTGCAGTTTAACATCTACATTTATAAAAAAAACTGAGGTTCTCAAGTAGTTCAAAATCACTTTGAAACATAGGGCACAAACACATAAAGTTCTGTGTGGATACAAATGCCCATTGCAATTTTTTACATTTAGCAATTATTCTTTTCATATAATGGATGTATTGAGTTGTCCATTAAACCAGCTTGATCTTACCTCAGTTGGTGTCCATGCATCAAGTTTGCTATCCAAGATTACATCATAGCAAAATGCTCCAGATGTCACTATATAGCAAGACAAACATTTTGAAATATTGCTATGAATAGATTTTTCAAAGTAAGATATTTAAGAAATCCAATGAGAACCAGCATATAGTTACGGCATCAGAAATTTGGCTGTACAAATAATTTTAAATTCATATTTAGGCATGTTTTAATTAAGACCAAGCAAAATGTCAAACACAGGATTCAAGTTTTTGGGTTATCCGGAATTCTTCATTAGACAAGATATTATCAAAACAACTAAACCCAGGATGGTAAAGAAATGAAGAAATCTAAATATTAGTCTAGATAGTTAATTATTGGGTTCTAGAAATCGCACTTTTGAACAACCTGCCTGATGAAAATAATGAATTGTGTCCAAATATCAATATAGGCTTTTAGGTCTTCCTCCACCATTGACACTTGCTCTGACAGAAAACTGAAGAAAGGTCTGTGAATGACTGAATGTCTTTGGAACTTTTTCACAAAAAAGTTCACCTAACACTGTCTTAACTTCTCTTTTTAGTCAAGGTGCAAACCTTTTTTTGAGGCTGTGTGTGTTATAATGCAACTCTCTATATACACATACATAAGTAAATTTCTTTTGTTCAATGGGGTAAATTCTTTCAGATAAATTGAACAGAACTGCAGACTTAAATAGAACTGCAATTCTGTTCTATTTAAACAAGAATTTTACCTGTTCTGTTATAGTATGCAATTGAGAATTGAACACTGGTTAATAAATCATTTTAAGTATGCTTTCTCCAGCATTTGGTTGTTAGCATGGCAGTTTTGAATATGGCCAATTCCAAATAAGGACCAACTGAAAATAACATGTATACTACCTTCACAGAAAAAAGTAAATACAGTAAGTATTTACCATCATAAGAACTTTAATATTAAGATGAACAAAAGACAGTTGACAGTGATCTAATGAAACTTGTAGTTTAGTAAATTGTCTATTATAATTTTCTTCAGCTTTGAAACCTTCCAATGGGTTCAGACTATAATTCAAAGTATTTTGCATGTACTTTGTCTCCAAATGCTTTAATACCTACATTTTTGAAAAGAGTAAATTCCAGAGATTTTTTTCTATGATTATCGTAATATTCTTCCAGAGAGTTATATTACCTGGTACTTCTGGAGCTTTAACAAGAGTAATTGAATATTCATCTTTAAATGCTTGTTCTAAAATACAGCCCAGAATCATGGCACAAGAACGCCAATAAGCCTGCAATAGATTAATTCAAATTATCTCAAGACAGTTCAATGTAAGCTTCAAAAGCAAATTTTAAAAGACTCAAGGCATCATTTATGAAGTTTCATGTTTGACAGCAAATGTTATTTAAAAATACAGCCAGACATAAAAGATATTTGCCTTGTTTCTGAGGAATGTCATTTATTTTCTGAGGAATGTCATTTATTTTATGAGTAAAAAATACTCCACTTGTATTACTGTATTTAAATCTGCAATTAATAGAAAGCCAGAAAGATGAAATTCTATACTAAGAAAAACAGAATATCATTATTTTCAAATCATTTTTGAATCAATTTCTCTACAAGTTGTTCTTGGGTTATGACCATGATAGTGCTGGATGAATGGTATATGTACTCAGTTATTGAATTTCCAGCTGCCACAGCAATGCCACAAGAGTCACAATTGTGATTCAAGCATCGGTAACTGCCTCATTCTTATGACAGTTACAATATGTCAGTTTTTCTCCGGAGGAGCCCTACTACAGGGTTAAAGATCTGGAAAATCTCACATTCTGTAGTACATGCCCACTTGCAGCAATCACTTTATCTGCACTCCGCAATGTATGCATACCTGACTGGGCCATAGGCCCCCTGAAATTGCGCCAGGCTGTAAGACTTAACTTCTGCCTGGCTGCACTCCCACCACAGCACCCTACATCCTTCCCCACTTGCCCACTGGCCTGCCTGCCTGCAAGCTACCAAAAGAAAAATTAGTAACAACTAGGACTTGTAACTTCCTGCCTGCTTCCCCTTCGACTTTGCTTGCAGGAACTCACAAGTTACAGTCACACGATGTCCTTGCTTAATAACCCATGATCCTCACGTAATGACTACAACCACATTTGCCATCACTAAATGATGTGGTCACATGATGTTGCGCTTTACAACCGCATCGCTCAGTGACAGAAATTCCAGTCCCAATTATCAAAGTTAAGCAAGGGCTACCTGTATTGACATTCAAATGAATTTAAACCATGCATTCTTTTATCTCTCCGGTTTAATAAAAACAACATAAAGAAAGAAAGCCAGGATTGTTATACTTTGTTCACTTCTTCTGCATCTTCATCTTTGAAAGTAAGAAACTGAATTTCACAAGAATGAGTCAAAGGTCTGTACATATCCCAGTGCTGCCCATCTACAAGGGCAAGCACAGATCTCTTAGTATACCATTCACTTAAATCTGGAAAAGATAAACAAAATAAAATAAAAATTAAACTTCAAAAAGTATTACACTGTGCTAAAATCATATTTTATTAGTGAAATAACAGTCTAAAATAACCACTTGTATATTACCTAAGGTAAAAATTAATTGTTTTTAAGAGAGGCAGCAAGATTTCACCCATAGTTTTATTGAACTGTCTGCTATTTTTACTTGTTTTCTTTTTTTTAATCCTACTATGAGACACTATCAGAATCTTTTTTGGTTAACAGGACGAAGCCAGGATTTTTCCCGTTTTTGATCAAGTTATAAGTTATTGCTAAAGAGCATGATGACTTGGAATATTTTTCTCCTTTAATAATGCTTCATAGGGAGTTAATAAGGATAAGTAAAACTGATTCAACAAAACTGAGGGTTCCATATTGCTAGAGACTAGGTATCATAGAAGAGAACATATCTGTAGAAACCAAGAAATACATTAGGGAAGCAAAATAACTGGTGATCCCAAATGAATTGTGTATTTGTAGAAGCACAACTAACTAAACCAAAGTCCTTCTTACATGAAGCCTATTTCAATTTGTTACTCAACTTAACAAACCATTTCAATTACTTACGCATAGCACAACTGTATGGAGTGGAAAGTCCTTTGTTCATTATAAATAAGGTGCCAGGATGTGATTTACCCACATGTTTTACTTCAATTTTCTCAATCCGTGGATTAAGAGACAATTGTCTTTCTTTCTCTTTTGTGAATAGATCATTGCGCCTTTGAGCAATTTCTGCTGTTGAAAGTTGAGGAGTAGATGCAATGGAAATAAACCCTGAGAAAAAAGAAGACATCTTGTTAAAATATATTGTTTTAATTGTCCAATATCTTCTTTGCTAATACATTTATATGAAAGTAAGTTCTATGAATTGTGATTAAATATTCCTTACTGCAGGACCTATAAATAATATCTGAGGAACATCTCTGGAATCTGTGAAAGTACATTTTTTTACTCAAAACCTAACAAAAATAACTTAATCTTTTAAGAGAAGTTCCTGCGAATTTGAGGTATGTATGTGTATGGGGTAATGACAATATCACATGCCTTTAACATCTATCATATTACATAATCAAATAATTATTTGAGTCTTTATAAAATATGTACAATGATGCTATGAACTTCACTGTGCAAACACCTTACCACACACAATGAACACTGCTCCTCCAATATATCAGACCCGACAACTCTGCTTTTCTTACCACCAACAATTATCAAGAAAATACTCTTCAACTTAAGGAGCATTGAATATGAAATGTCAGGATACAAAATCCCCAGAGTTGAAAAGCAAGGCACTAGAACCACATAAAACAAACCGAACTCAATCTTCATAGTCCTAGAATCCATTATTAAATTCCAGGTTAAATTTGGGAAATACAAGTTTTCGATAGGAAATATTCTTGATATTATGCAAGTGGTTATCTGACTTTCACTAATTATTTAAAGCAAACAGCCATCTCCATGCTCAGAAAACTGTTCTTGCAAAATTTAAGAAGGATATGAGGAGTCCTTGATGCTCTCTGAGATTGTTTTCTTGCACACATTTTGTTACCAAACTAGGCAACATCATCCGTGCTAGTAGGGAGTGGAGTTTGCTCTCATTTTATATTCCAGTGGCTTGACCTGTCAGTGTTGGTGGGAGTGATCTTGGTTGTTTTTTGGTCCCAACCAAATGTTAATCTTGTTAATCTAATGTTAATCTTGGTGTTAATCTCTACTCACCTGGGTGTTGATTGCTGGTGAGGACGTGCTCTAGTCTTTCTGTTTCATTTTGGGCTTGTTGATTGTCTATTTTGAATGATATATCAATGTTCTTTGTGCCTGCTGATGGCTAATTTGTCAAAGTTAGGGCCATCAAAAGGCACATAGATATAAACATCTACATACCATTCAAAAGAGACAATCAATGAGCCAAAAGGGAAACAATCAGCCATCAACAGGGACATAGACATAACATTAACATTCAGATTAATATTAGACCAATAATCAAGTCGCAAACAATACCCCAATCAAGGAATTGCCAAACAAGCTAACAATAAACAGGCCAACCATAGAACCACAAAAGACCATCCCCACTAACATTGACAGGGCAAGTCACTAGAATACAAATTGAGAACAAATTTGTATTCTATCCCATAACCAGCAATGATGATGCTACCTAGTTTGGGTAATGAAACGTCTGCAAGAAAACAATCAAACTCAAAGAGCACAAAGGGTGCCACATTTCAATTCTGAGCAGATATTCTGCTCTTATCGTTAAGAAGGGCAGGCAGGCATTGCAGTATTTTAATCTAAGCAATACCGTAACCAAGATATATCAAAGTGAACGGCAATGTAACAATTCCTTAGTTGTATCCCTTGAATCCAGAGTTTAAATCAGCCATTCCTCGGGTTCCTCTGTAGGCTTACGTTTGCTGCAACCCCGCCACAGTCCGCGAGCCAACCGAACTGAAGCCATCGCGAACTCCCTTCCCCTCGTCCTCCTCTACCTTCCCTAAGCGGTCCGACGCACTTCGCGTCCTCCGGAAACACCGATCGCGACAAAAGCGTTCCGTCTCTCGCGGTTCCTATCTCGCGCTTTCGCTTCAGCGATAATCGACGCTGTTTGGATCCTGATGCTTTTTTTGCGCAGCTACGAGAAAAGAACTTATTTGGGGAGGGGGGGGGAGATTTATCTCCTAGCTGTAAAGCCTTCTTTTCTAAGGCTACCATATCGATGCTACGAAGACCCGAACAGCTACTCAATAATTGCCAAGGAGTACCGATGATTTTGTTGCGAAAGAAAGAGAGGGACCTCTTTGTGAGATAGACTCCGCTCAATCAGAAGAGACGCGCGAGAGAAGCTAAGGCGACCGGTGGAAACGAGGCATAGACACCGAGGAATAAAGTTGCACAAGTGGAATATTTGCTTTGAGGCATAGCTATAAGGAGATTTGTGAAGAGGCCGGTCGAAAGCAGCCACTTTCCTATCTCTTTGAACTGTGTGATCTTGAACCATAGACAAACGTTCTTTTATGACATGAATATACAGCACTGCACTGGCTGGAACCTGTATAGTTTGCTTTGAAATTCTGGGTAGTTTCTCGTTACTTGGAGATGCCAAAAGGCTACTTTGCACCAAATTCTCCTTGTTTCCTATAAGGAATTAAAGGTGAGATGGAAAACTGTGGAGTGAACATAAAACTGGCTCCAATTAAATTATGATAGTGATAATCCATATTCGTGTTCATTCTGAAACTGCAATCCTAAAACCCTTTACTGCGAAGTAACTTCAATTAAAATAAACGCAATTTATTTCTTCTAGATAAATATAAATGAACGGGAAGGGTTCCAAAGCAGTAAGAAGGGAGGTTGTTTTCAAAGATAGATGTGTGCCTTATACCTTATGGAAACAGAAATTCTATTTTTAGGACTGCAAACTCAAAGATGACCACCAGATGGCAGCGATGCGTTTCCCGTATCTCTTCTTTGGTCTCTTGTATCTGGAGGATTGTAATTAAGACATGACAGCCCTAACTTACTACAGTATGTCTAAATAAAGCCAAAGACAAAAGGAATGTTTTTTTTATTTTAAATATACTTGTGTTTTACAGTATTAACAATGGTAAGCAGCAGTGATGTTTTCAGAATAGTTTTCAACTTTCTAAAACAAATTGGTGTGAAATCAAAAGTCTTCATCTGACCTCCTATCTTATAGTTTTCAGTTACACTTTAGTGGAGATGGTGTTCAAAGACTAGGACACTACAATTGAAAAAGCTCATTTGTCAGCCATGTGCAAGACTCTGCTTGGAAGACCTCTGCAGAAATTTGATGGTCCAAATAAAAAAAAAATCTGACATTGTGGCTTAAGCTTTTAGGACTTTAGAAATTAAAACCAAGGGCAGACCCAGGGCAGGCCTTCAGTTCAATGACACAGGCATTCAAGAAGACAATAAGTGACAGCATGTGCATTAAAATCTTGTCCTCGGGCTGGTATTGGTGTCTCCTTGTGGATTATGGTCTCTGATGTTTCATCCTTTGGTTGAACTTGATCCATGAAGCTCATTTGGCTTTGGTCTGTGTTCTGTTTAATGTATTTTTTTGATGATATTATCATAATAGCTGCCATAGATACCTGCTTTATCCTATCATGTCTAATAGAATACAAAACAGAAGGGTGGCCATCACTTGGTTGTGATGAATTTGTATCCACAACAAACACTGCCTGGCCCTGGCCATCCAAAATAATATGAACTTTAGCTTCCCATATTAAAACAGAAGCACATAAAGATTGTGACTACTGCTGTTTTGAAGTTTATTTTTTGTTTCCCATACCCTGTTACCTTGTTTCATAGAATGCACAGAAAACCTCTTGTGTGTGCAAGTTTTCTTTAAAAAAAAAGTATATTATCCAAGGAAGGTTCCAAGTATACACATACAACAAGACATAACATTTGAATTTTATGAAAAATATGTGGACAGAGGATGTGCCCACTCAGACTAATCTCTGTATGCCATTGTGTGCTTAATCTTGGGTAGAGGAATATGAAACACTTTGATTTTTAAACTTTACTAACTGGAATGTCCCATTTCATACCCAAACTGCACTGTGCTGCTATTAATACATTCTCCAGGTTACCAAAACAGATCATTTTTCATTCAAGACAACTCTTTCACATGCACAACATGGTGTTTTAAATTAAAAAATGGTTCAAACTTTAGATGCTTTGCACAGTCTTCTGTAAATAAAACAAAATTGGAAGAGCGCTGGAATATCACATATTTAATATATTGCACATGCTGTGAAAATAAGTTTTATATCATGGTTGTCAAACCTTTTGGCTTGCCTGGCCCACACTGAGTGGAGAGGAATTATAAATATATAATATAATTAATATATCTATCTATCTATCTATCTATCCTATCTATCTATCTATCTATCTATCTATCTATCTATCTATCTATCTATCTTATCTTATCTTCTGGGGCTGCATTACTCTCAGGGCCACATGCAGCCTTTGGGCCATGGATTGGACATACCTGCTTACCTGCTTTATATGGATTTATTCAAGTAGAGATCACATTGGAGATAATGTTCTATAAAGTCACAGAATCTAATATATGGAACAATCCAATACTTCACCTGAAACATCTACTTATGTCCAAACAACCATGAATACAACTTTCTTCCAATTTCCCTGCTTAGTGTGGCAGTTTAGAATTGAATGCTGTAGATAAAAAAAAAAAAAAACTTGGCTTTTTAGCACGAGGAGCCAGGAATTCTGCTTTGAAAGCTGTTTGTGGTAATCTTCAGAATTTCCTTACTGGATATAGAACAATTTTTCATTTTTGGATTCCATGATTGTTTCTCTGACGCTGCAGATCTTGAATCACCATTGTGGCTCCTAAGGACAACAGTGAGCCTGCCAACTTCTACTTCCTTAACGTTTACTTCCTTGGCATTTGTTCTTTAGTTATATTTTGTTTTGATTATTTTTAAATTATCAGATTGCAAAACGGTGTTTACCCTGAAGCATAATGTGTTATTGAGCAATACCTCTGGGCCCCACAAAGTCCTTAGAGGCCCTTTTAGTAAATTAAATGGTGGATCACTATAGTTCAGTGCTTTAGGTTCCTAGATAGAGGGGGAATGTGGGAGAGATTATTATTACCTAAATTTATCCACTGAAGGATGACAGCCTCTTATTGAAGGTTATGGACTCTAATCCACCATGCTGGTCCACTGCAAGTTACAATAAAATGTTTTTTGACTTCACAATCTAGGGCTGAAAGTGGTTCTTCCCTGGGACTGGCAGAACACTGGATAAGAGAAGCCTCAACCCATGAAATCTGACTTAGGGATTAGGAAATTATGCAGCAGCAAACTAACAACCATTGGACCTACATCCAGTATATATTTGTTTTCTATGAGCTGTTGAGATTTTTGCTGTATGTGTGTATGTGTGTGTGCACATGCATTAAGCGCACTTTTGTGTGTCCTGAAACTGGCTGAATTAAATCTGTTTTGAAGTACTTGTTCAATCATCTTTTGCTACTTGTTTTTTTCAGCTCCTTCTTTGACTTTGATACATATCAATAATAAACATCTGAATTACAAATGAACTAGCAACATTTGAGAAAAAAAAAAGATATTATCCTCACCCCCATCAGCTACTGGAGAAAAGGCGGGGAGATTGTTACGGTATTTATCTGCTGCTGAATGAATCAGTCCAGAGAAACATTTTCCCAAAGTAAAGTGGTTGGTGGCAATACCACAAAATAGTAGTTGTGGAAGATCTAGTAAGAGTGTGAGTAAAAATTTAAAAGTCCCTGCTTGGCAGCTAATACACAATCTCCAGCCCATACATATTGTATGTTTATGTCTTAGTCTATTACTACTGTACACTAAATGACAAAGTAGCAGTTAGGTATATATCAAGATTCATTTAATAATATTTGTTTTATTTACAAAACAGAACCTACAATGAGATATTATTTAAGTCTTCTTCATTTTGTTATTATAGTTCTTGTTGGTGATAATGTCATCTTGCAATGACCAGGTAATCTCATGATGTAGACTAGGAGATCAAAAGAACACCCTGGAGAACAGCAAAGGCAAAAACTTCTATATTGTGGCCATTTAAAAAAAGAGAGAGAGAGAGAGAGAGAGAGAGAGAGAGAGAGAGAGAGAGATTGATTCAACAAATGTTGAGCTCTATTCAAGAGAGACTTTTATCTCTGAGCAATATGCTTTTATTATATTCTTTAATGCATAAATAATAATTATAATTTTTAAGGAATCCATAATTTATATTTAAATTTAGTTTGAATTTTTAGTTATTTTTGCATGTGTCTGGGATTTTATGTTCTCTCTTTCATACAGATGCAGCCCAAGCAAATATTGATATGATTTTTAATTATTTGCACATACCCTAAACTGAGCATCACATTTCAGTAAGCACTTAGAAACGTTGACTACATCAGCTAGTCATGTGGATAGCAATTTGACTAACCTAATAATAAAAGCAGCCAATGATGATATGGTGATGACCACAGAAAGAACCATGATTATATGGTTGGATATCTCATGACATAGCCAGAGGAGTAGTGAAACTCAGTAGTTTGCACTGTTCTTTCTTACAAGCATATGTATTACTATTCTGTAGTCTCAAGACTGAGGCTGTTGCTTAATTTTACTGCTTAATATAGCACATTAGGTAAACCTTGGGTACAAAAAGTATATTTATATATTTATATTATTCCACCTTTATTACTGCATAAATAACTTGGTGAACATACCTAAAGCCCCCTATTTTCTCCATAACAAGAATCCTGTGAGATGGGTTGTGCTGAGAGATAGTGACTGATATTGTATATACATAAAACATCTCTGGAGTCTTCTAGAATCACTTCTAAGCAAAAGTGTTCATTTATCTCAGGGTGCAAAAACAGGATGCTGTACCGCACGGTGCAAAAACAGGCCACCACTGCACCTCAGGGTGCGAAAATGGGATGAAAAGTGGGCAGA